CTTTTCTTAGCTTTCCTGCTAAGCTAAAGACTATTTTCTAGTCTTATTCTCTCTGGAGCCCTACATTGAAAGTTCAGTACACCACCAAAAGAAGCCATTGAACCTCAAAGTGATAGCCAAAACAAGGGGGTAGCCTGCAGCAATGGAAGGCATTCAGAAGGTATTTTCTTGCAAAATGTTTTCCATTACTAATTCAGAGTCAGCATACAGACACTGCTACTGGGGCTTAATTGAGGCAATAGCCAACTATTACCTCTTCACAAAAGAGCTGTGTAACTACAAGAGATTTATTAGCTGCTTCTTTCTAAAAGAACTAGACACAGGAGCTTCAAGACTGGTCAGTGGGTCTTTCAACATGTTTATTATTGAAAAAAAAAAAGTCAAGTCATCCATTAAGAGAGAAAAGCAATATATAGCTAATAATATCTTTCCCTTGTAAGTTTTATATCAAGGAATTTTAAAATATTTGCCTCTCAATAAATAAAATCTGGAGAAAGATTCTTCAAAAAGCTCAGGTTTAGGCACTAAATTGGATACAGATTTCTTTAGGTTCCTCAAAACTGAATCAAACCCTCTGTGTAGCTGAAGCAACTCAATTACAATACACCTTTTGTCTTTTTTTCCTGCTTGTTTTTGTTGTTGGGGAATGAAGTCTGTAATTATATATTTAGAATATAGGCAGTCCTTGATTTTACAACGTTTGAGTTATGATGAGTGGCACTTACGACGATTATAAATTGACACCTCCTTTTGACTTTCCAACACTTTCTTGGTCAATTGATAGGAAGTTTGGTCAATTTATAGGAAGGATGGAGTGCTTAAACCAGGGGGTCTCAATCCCCAACCAACGGATCCATGTCACCTGGCTCACGATGCTCTCCATATATCTAAAAATTTGGCAGCAGTGGAGCAGTGGCCATTAACACTGCCACCACTCTCCCACTGCCAAATTTTCAAGCCCAATGTGGCCAGAAGATGCCCTGGATGGGCTGTTGCCATGTGGCTAGATCAGGCCCACAGGCCAGATTCAGCCTGCAGATGGACCTGATACTGCTCATCTGGCCTGCAGGAAGAAAAGGTTGGGCACCACTTGTCTAAACTATAAAAAATGAAGAATTACTAACTGGTGTTCTATCTGGTACAATGTTTTTTCTGTTTGTAAAGCTCATAAAATAGATTGGTATATACACTGGTGAAAACTGAATGACAAATTCTCTGTGGTACCTATACATTTCCAGAACCCTGTGAAGACCTTAGGTAAATAACACATATTGTTTCCTGAAGGAGCATTACGTATTTCTCAGCTATATTTAGGGTATACCCAAGACAAGTTCAAGTTTGAAGACTCTCTTGGACTTCCCTAAATGCTAGCTTACATCCTGGGCAAGTTGAAGAAACATATCAGTGCATTCTTTCACTCGTTACCAGCTAATTTGTTTGTTTTTTTGCTGGACACTCTTCTCTCAGATTGTTCTTTCATGTGGTATTCCATCAGTTTGACTTCTCCAGTGGTAGTCTGGAGTAGCACTGCTAATCATGGCATTCTACATCAGTACACATTTCTGTTAGTTGTCCTTGGTAGCAATAATTGCAGGAAATTGCTATTAGAAAAATCCTTTCTAGAGGGATTTTTTAAAAGTTTTCAGTGAGGCAACAGTCATTATTTAAAGGGGGATCCTAAAATGAGACTTGATGAGATCGATTATCAAATAGTGACTGGCAACAAAGCACTTTTTATCAAGTTCTTTGGACAAAAAAGTATCTGTTTATAGTAACAAACATTAATTAATGGAATCTCACTTATCAAGCATTCAAAGTCATTGTAAAGATGTATTGGTTATGTCTGAATGATCGGCAATCTGAAAATATAACACTGAAGCTTAAGTTTAGTGCATTACTATAACTGTTTTTTTTCAATGTTTAAAGCTGATAATGTTGAGTTGAGTTTTCAGATGTGGTACAAAAATTCAGCAGAAAAAAATCATATAAAATCCCAACAGCAAAGTAATAAATATTTAATTTACTCTTACCTTCAATCCAACTCCCCATAACACCTAAAATTGTGGGTATATTTGCAGACAACTCATCTGTTTGGATGACTTAGATTTGCTGGCTGATCTAAGTGATTCACATTCCTACTGGGGTGCTAGCAAACTCTTTAGCAACAACTCTGGCCCCAAATCATTCTGATACCCAACATGGGCAGAGTCAACTTCTGTATCAAGCTGGACTTGCTCATCAAATTGAGAAATGTGACTGACTGGCTCTGCATCTCTAGCTCCATATTTCCATGATTTATAAGGTGGTACATCAGAGGACTGTGACAATCCAATACGTTTGATACATTTTTTAATGGGATGTCTTCTTTGAGTCTGTTTGGTCAGGTGAGATCATTGGATGTTCCTTTCTGAAGCTGGAGAATAAGTGCCTTTACTCCAGCAATTCCTCCCCACCACAGACACCCCAAGATCAGAGTCCATTTCCAAGCGTGGAGGACTGCTGTCCATTCTGTCCTGTATAAACATGGACTCTTGGCTTCATTGGTGTTGAGCTCTTTTTCTGAAAGACCAAAGTAGCAATCCTTCTCCTTCTCACTGATGTTCAGTAAGGATTTAATAAATGTCTCACAAGCACAGATGCTATCTGTCATCTGCAGGTAGCTAGCAGCTGATATTACCTCTATCACATTTTGACCAGTAAGGGATAATGCGCCTGAATACACAAAGTCCAGCATGACCATGGGAGAACATGGGGAGAAGTGGCCATGCTGGAGGAGAGAGACAGGCTGCAACTAGATCTAGACAGGTTACAGGGGTGGGCGGATGAGAATAGAATGGGATTCAACACTGACAAGTGCAAGGTGCTGCACCTGGGGAGGAAGAACCAGCACCATACCTATAGGCTGGGAACTCCCTTCTCATCAGTGCAGAGGCAGAAAAGGATCTTGGTGTCATTGATTACAAAACAAACATGAGTAGCCAATGTGGGGATGTGGTCAGGAAGGCTAACCACACCTTGTCATGCATGTACAGATGCATCATGAGCAGGTTCAAGGAGGTGATCCTCCCCCTCTACGTGGCACTGGTCAGGCTGCATCTGGAGTACTGCATCCAGTTCTGGGCAAGATAGACACCTTGCCAGGGTTGTTTGACCCCCGCGTTCTTTCCTGCCTATGGCAGGGGGGCAGACTTGATGATCTACTCAGGTACCTTCAGACCCTACCAGGTATGAAACTATGAAAGTATCAGGGGAGAACATATGAAAAGTAGCTGTTGTTGGCTAGCTAGTGTCTTTTGAGCTCTGGGAAAAAAGCATGTTGAAATAGCCAGTACTGGCAAACAGCACATTTTGATGTGTATTGAAGACTTTCTCCTCAACCAGGATACTGCAGTCACAGAATAAGCCTTGCCTGCGCTTGCTCATTCAGTTGCAGTAGGAGGTGAGATTGGCAAGAAGAAACATCCATTCCACAGAGGGGCAAACAAGAAGAACTACTATAAAAAATTAAAAGTTATATTTATAAACCTGGGCAATATGAAAGGAATCATCTGATTGGCTTGGCAAAGGTTTCACTTGTGTAGGTGTACCACCCACTCCATTTCAGGATCTTGATAGATATCACAATCTAAGTAAGGCTGCTTGTTGTCAGTATTTGATTAAAAAATACTGGTACAGCCATGGGTGGTGATGTAACTTCAGTAAGTGCCAACCTTTCCTCAAAGCAAGTCATGAAACAATGCACTAGCGTGATACTAATATAGTTCTGCCTTTCAACAGGGATTCTGAACACTCTTCATCAGGGCACTTTTTTTCAGCTAAACTGTCTTGGCCCAAAGCGATGGCCAAATTCCCACTGTTGGTGTATTTATGTTCCGCCTTCCTAAAGTCACCTGCAGTTTCAGTAGGTAATTGTATTATTCAGTTTATTTTCTAAATCAGTGGTTTTCAACCTATGCTCCACAGACTAAGGGGTCCACAAAAGATGACTATGATCAAACAAAAGTATGTGAATCCCCACATTCACAGTACAAAGGGGTCTGCACCTCCATTCAAAATTTTTAGGGGTCCACAAATGAAAAAAGGTTGAAAACCACTGTCTTAAATCGTCATGCATTACTGATGTGTTGCTAAAAGTTGTCATGTTATGCCACTGGATGGGTTGAAACTTGTTAGTGGGTTAAGTTATTTTAGTATGTCATTTGGAAAGATTTCCTTTGTGGGATGAATGCCATTGCATAAAACACAAATTTAAAAAACACTAATAAAATATTGCCTTTGTTGCTTAAGCAGCAGCAAAAAACTGGGGGAAAAAGATCTAGTTGAGCAATATATTTTTCTTACACTGTCCAAAGTTACTATTTGTAACTTTTGAGAAGAGGTGGGTGATACTGAAACACAAACTGTCAGTATTAGCAATTACAATTAACAACTCTTCTTTAGATACAGAATATTTTAAGAGTACCGATCCCATAATTAGTAATCAGGTATTGATTGCGTTGGAAAGAGAATGTAGTTTACCCTTAATAGCAATTTTTTTCTTTCCAACATCCATTCCTGCAAGAGCTTATGACAGGGCTACCTTTTTTGGCAAAACAGGCTAATGTAAGCACCCAGTCACTGCTATGTTTGCATATACAAAAGAATGGTGCCTGCTCCCTGCTGAGCTGAGCCACATGGGGCTGCAGAGCCACTGAGAGTATAGCCCTCATTCTCCCCTCTCCCCACCACCTGGCTGACTGCTTTGAAACTTGAAACATTTCAACTACCCTTGTTTTGTTTCGAGGCTGTTTTGAAGCCCTTTATTTTGTTGTAGCTTCTTTCAGCTTGAAATGAGTTGAAACGAAACAGCCAACAAAATTTTGTGCAGCCCTAATGAGCTGACATACTCATTTAGTCTCCTAATTGCTGTTTCCTGAACAGGTACTAACTTGGAATATTCCACAGAGTAACTTCAGCCATCTACTTCAGGCAGTACACAAGCTGTCTATGCAAAGAGAAAATAAAAACATGCCACATTTTTTATTGTTAGATATTTGAGTTTTCTGTTCTTTAACTATAAAAGAACTGGACTACATACAACAATATAAACATATAATACATATACAATTTAACATACAATAAAGACAAATTCAGAAATGCACCACTGTAGAAAAGCAAAAGTTACAAAAGTTACAAAAAAGCACTTAAAGATTTGTTTCCCACCCCTTAAAAAGGGTAAATTGCTGCTATATGTTGGTGGTATACACAAATTTTAAACTTTGGTTTAATTAACTTTTAAATCAGCCACCCTGACACACACACACACACACACACACACACACACACCAGTATCAGAGGGACAAATACACTTGGAAACCTATCAGCTAATGATAAAATGTCAGTGCTGCTTTCCCATTGGTGACCACTGGAACATTTCCAGTATTAAGATCTCCAAAGGTCTGCCTGGCTAGCACTTCTCCTATTGCACAATGAAAGGTTTAAATACTGGGCAGTAATCTTTTGTCAGACACTGAAAAGATCCTACTGTTAGAGTTGCACAGTGAGACTAGTGTTCCACATAAAACTATTGTCCCTCAATGCTTATGGAACCAGGGGATAATCGATTAGATGTCAGTTCCCTCCCTCTCCTCAAGAGAAAGGGTTGCCTTAGTATTTCATTTTTTAAAAACTGTATCTTACCTTGCTGTTACGTAATAATAAAAATACCAAGGCATTTTTAAAGAGTCACATTTCTCTCCTGTTTTTAACTGTTTATTCAACTGAAAGTACTATTTAAAACAGTGAAAATATAACAGAAGTTGGAGACTTACAGAAGAAGTAGGGATAACTGAGGAACTTCCTGCACATTTGTTTGCTTATCTTTTGTAACTAAGCATGCTTCATATTTATTACTGTCATACATCAGGAAGATTTGGTTTAGTTAACCAACTCATCTGTTTCAAGAAGTTGATTGAACCCTAATATTCAAAAAATACTTGTTGTCATGCTGGCCTTCAAAAGTGGAAAGGCAGAAAACAGCCTTTACTGGATCAGCAAGTACACTAAAGTGTATAATTCTGATTTCATATTGGGCTCCATAAAAATAAACCGTATATTGACTTTGAGACCCATGCCTTGAAGACCTTACAAGGTACTTGCTGGATCAAATATAGGTGCTTTCAGGCCAAACAGCTTCTGATATTAGGTGCTGGCTTAACTTTTGGTTGGTTTAACAGTCTCTCAGTTTAATACAGAAGCTAATGAGTCCCCAAAATGGAAATATTCTAAATTATTTGTTGATCCAGTAAAAGATGCAACATTATCTACCTGCTCCAACAATAAAACTTAAAAAAATATATAAAAATAGAGCATTTCTAAAGCAAACAATCTAACATTTCTATTTGAACAGTATATGGGAGATTTCGTCTCCCTCATTATTAGTTATTTGGGCTCAAACAGTAATAAAATAATTAGAATATTATTGGCACAATCAATGACACCAACATTAACTTAGCATTCACATAATAAACTTCAGTTTCAGAGGTACATAAGTAACTGAAATTTCAATACAAACTAAATCTTACTGTTCAAAAATACCTGAAAGACTATTTCTGATCTGGCCCCTAGTGTTCCAAAAAAATAAAATAAAATAAAATAAAATAAAATCATGCTTAACTTCATGCATGATTAGTTCCATGTTGCATACAGCCACTCAATCAAGTATGTATTTAAGTCTTTATAGGACTATTAGCTACAGGTATGTAAGAAACCTAAACTCACATATTTTGGTAATTCTAATTTTAAATTGAAACTGTTCTGCAAATGTTTTTGCAGGTCTATAGTTTTGAATGTAGAATACTGCTTCTCTATTTTGGGATGGTGTTTAAATAACTATGTAATGTAACTGTCATATTTAATTTGTGACCATGCTTACACTGATTTAAAATAGAAGTTTAATTTAAAAGAGCAGTACTTGCTTTAGTCATTGTCAGGAGCCTTCCTAACTAAAGAATGTTCAAGTTTGCCTTGGCAATAGTAACACCACCACCATAGTGGTGGCCTGAATCCTACTACAATCTGTACATGGGAGAGCCAGTGACAGGATCATGACTACATTTCCTTAACTACCAATTTTCATTTAAGAACAGCTGAAGTCTTTAAAAGATTTTTAACAATTCCGCACACATAGAAAGTCTAAACTTGAAAGTTCCAGAACTGAAACCTCAATCAATCACTGAACTTATTTGTATTGTTCATACTGCATTATATTGTGCTTTCCACTTTCTAGAAAGGTGAAGAAGGAAAACAACCCACAAAATAAAATTATGCATGCCATAGTGCAGAAGTATATTATCAACTTTTAGGTTTAACCCCAAATTTTAGTCCTGTGAAGACAGACAAACTTTTGCACAGTGTATAGCCAACAAATATGTTTCCACCTGTTAGCAAATGATAATGGTTCATTTAAAAATGTGCACAATTCCTATGTGATGTTTGAAACTCCAATGCTGTAGCATTAGGACCCATAATATAACACATTCATTCCTGACATGGAAGAAATGCAAAAAGAAAACTAGCGAAAAGTAAAGTGTATTTCTTAACTGTTCACTTAACATAAACACATTTAAAATAATACTTGTTTTGGATTTTCTTAAATGTACTGCTGTTATTTTTGTAACATACAAGTTTGTCACCACTGGAGGAGATAAAGGGAAAAAAAATCTCTCTTTCTCTCTCCAAGTTTATGATATGCATATGACACCATTTTCCGTGTAGCCAGTTTCAGTGCTTTCTTGGCAGCATGCTGCCCACTCCTCATACTGCCACAGGGGAGGGGAAAAGACAGAAAAAAAGAATGATACCAAAACCATAAAAATAGGTAAGGAAATTCAGTTAGGAGTAATACCTGATTATATTTTTGATACTGATTAGACTTTTATTTGCTTCCCACTAAAAACTGGATTTTTATTTACACATTGTCCATTTTCAGCAACAAATGGATTGAATTTCCAGAAACTAAAAATGAAGTAAAAGCCTTAACTTGAAATTTCAACAATTTATGCAGTCAATTTGTGTATGTTTTGTAAAATACAAGAATCACTACCTCAAATAGGTTTATTTCTAGAAAGGGCCAATAACTTTTAGATTGCTCCAGTATCCAATAATGTAGTAAGCTCGCTTATGTAAACAAGGTTCATCTTACAGGAGTTTGGGTTAATTAAAAGGTAGACTAGGTTCAGACTCCAGCTATCAAATTGCTTTTCAAGTATCAAACAAAGTTATTCAATTTTGGAAGATTACTATTTTTAAGGTTAAATCAGGTCTTGCACCAGGAAGTGAAATGCACTATTGATATCACCACAGCATGCATTTCTTCAGTGAGAAACAGTGCAATTACGTGCAGAAATAAATTAAGATATCCATTCCTGAACAAAGATCAGGAATGGATCAGGAATTACAGGAATACATCAGGAATTATGAAAAAGTTTAAGATATGTAGTTTCCATGACCTTTTAAAAACTTTGAGAGAAAAAAGATCACATTAGAAACTAGACACCTAAAAACAGTCGTTTGAGTCTTCATTAAGCACCATATGAATATTCTTTTAGAACAGATAGATCATTTCCTCAAAGCTTGCAAAGGCTGAATTCTCAAAGGAAGGTTTCAGGGAAACATCATGGTACTGGGTGGGAAGCACAGAAAACAGATTTACATGAACATCTATCACAAGAAAGTGAATAAAGTACATCTTTTTCTACTAAATACAAAGGCTGAAGCAAGGCCCACTGAAAAACAAAGCAGCACAATATGACAGAACAGGAAATAGCAATTTTGGTGGTTACTTTCAAATGGTATGTGAATTGAATGTCTTTCCCACCCACCCCCTTTCCCCCCACATTACACAAAAGTTAATACAGGTCCATTCTCTATGCACGAGACACACAAGAAAAATCTCTAAGACCAAAGAAAACAGGCTGAAATAGAACTGTTGAAGGTCACCTCTTAAATTTGGACATACAGACCTTCACAAGAGCAATGAATTCCCTCCTCTGGAGGTCTTCACAATTTCAGAGTTCACTAGTACATGTCTCACCATAGCTATGCAGCTTTCTTTGATTAGCTTAATCACCATAAAGCTCAATCATAGCTCACTAGCCAGTACCATATTCAACTGATATTCCAAGTCTAATGGCCTCTAAAATATTTACAAGAAGGTGGCATCTCTCTGTCAGACTGACCATAAAGAACAGCTTGCCTATTCATTAAAGGTTAGTTAGAGTCACTATTTACATTCCTATCCCACATTCATTATACAATATAGCCCTCAACAGTCCTACATATGAGGATTTCTTTTCAAACATCTCCACATATAAAAGTCCTTCCCCTATCTGACAATGAAATCTCAGAAAATACCACTATGAAGCTGGGTTGACTAAGCAGAAATAAAGAAGTAGTTAGAGATAAACCCTATAGGACTATAGGCAGAATTTTCAAAAGTGACTTAAGTGATTTAAAAACCCACCTGGAGGGTGAGAGTCTCAAAAGTGCTCGGCACCTAAAAATAGAGTAGGATTTTCAAAAGAGCTTAGATCCCATAAAGGCACCTAATAGAAACCGTTTAGGATGCTTTTGAAAATCTCGCTGCTTTATTTAAGTGTCTGCTGGGTGACAAGTTCTTTTGAAAAATCTAGCCTAGTACTAATCGTCTTCTCGGTACAACTGTGATATATCTGTTCAGATATCTCTAACATCAATTTACAAATTATTTGAAATAATTATTTAGGAGGATTTGTAACAAAGTCTGTTTACAAACAACATCCCTTTAGTATTTTGCACCACTCAATTTAAAATCAGACAACATAAACCCAGACAGAGATGCGCACACAGGCAGAGAAGGTAGCGTTTAAAGAAATGTTGATTCTGGGGAGATTTATCAAATAGATCTATTTATCTTTCACTTATTTTTTTAATTTCTCACTACTTCACTAAATAATTAAAGTGACCTGTTTAAACAAAAGCATTTTCTTTCTTTCCTCATCCTACTTGATTTTGCAATGAAGTTATAATGCTACATTTGTGATACCATAATCACTTCTGTTCAAAATAAAGTGTGACATAACAGAATTACTGCTTCACTATAGGATGGAGCAGATAGAGAAGCTGAATTGCAGGGTACAATGTTCTTATTCAATCTTTGAAATAAAAGCACAAGGTATACAGAAAATAACTGGTTAAATTAGCTGCTTTTTTATAAAAATGTTCCATTTAGTTTTTCCCAATGCAATGTCTTCCCTCAAAATATAAAACTAACATTTTCTTTAAGCAAGACGATCTTTTTTTAACACTGACATCTGGCTTCAATCTTCTGTTCTAACATTTGATCCAGAATGAAACTCCTATACAATATACCTTTTCACTAAACACTTATGAACAAGATAGTAAGAAAGGGCCATCTATGTAGAACATGCACTTTCACTTCATGGAATCCTCCAACATTGTCTCCTCACTAGTAGTAAGTTTAGAAGTAGCTTATCCATGAGCTCCCCCCAACCTGAGTTTCCCAGCTTAATTTCTACAGCTTATAGTAATTCACTACTGGAGAGGTAAACTGAATACAGTGACCTCATCACCTTCACAAACCAATTTGCACCTATCCCACAGGGAGAATGCAGGGTCCAAGTTGGAATTTGAGCGAGCACTTGGATGAATTCAGTAGACAATGTAAACCATCATGGCAATCACCAAAGACTAAGAAGGAAAAAAAAACTCTCACACACACACGGAAAAGAAAAGGATTTGCATATGGGGATGCTATAGCATATTTCACATGGATATTTGCTTGACTGCTTTAAGTGTGGTTTACAGGAATATTTAATGTGTAGTTCAGATTTTTCTTTGGAATTGCCCCTTAGTTATATCAGCAACAGATCTAATTATTTAAACTACTATAACTGGAATTCTGGAAGTTACCACATTTCTAGTCTACTAAGGTCATAACTTCTACTTTAAAAGGATGAAAACAGGAAGATAGTGCACTTAATCTTGCTTGAGACCAGTGCTTGTTAGATGATATGATATTTTCCATGATTGTGAGTCACTCTTGATAGTTTTTAATCCAAATCTAATAGCATTCAAGACAGACTTGAAGATCCACAGCTCAAGTTCTGTTGCTCCCCAGCAAGGAGATGCAGCGAAAGAAAAGCTGCCCAGAAAATTAGCTTGCTCTCTGAAGCACATGTAAATAAGCATATGTGAAGATTCTTTCCTGAATATACTTCCTTCTGTAGCACAGGTCTTGTTATCTTGGTTGTTTATCCTGCTTTCCAGCTCAAATACTATTCTAAACTTTAGGTTAAATAAACTAGTAGGATCTACATATAGGACTGTCAGAACTGAGCTGGGAAGATGGTAAAGTAGTTTAGAGAAGTCTAAAGTTAATGATGAAATGTATTTTTTTTCCTAGATGATGCCTCCCCTTTGAGATCAGCAGTGGGGGCTGTGGCAGCATTATGGGAGGAAACTTAGTATCAAACGAACATGGAGATATTTCATCTATAAAAAAAAAAAATGTTCTTTCCCTCAAAGCCAGGCTGTAGAAGCACAAGTGGAGACTGCAAGGAACCCAGCCTCTGTTTAGCCAGGACAGGAAATTTCCCTCAGAATGCTAGTGCACAGCACTGGAACCTTAAAAAAAAATCCAAAATTAAATTCTTCTCTTGTGTTTTATCAGAAATGGAATCTGCTAATAAAACACTTGAAAGAACTGCATAAATCTGCAGTTTTCTGCTGCAAAATGACAAATCTCGGAGATGATGCTTTAAACCCTTCCACCTTCCTTTTGTTGCTACATAAGTGCCTCCCGGTCTGATAAACTCCTGTGGATTTCTTGTTTATCATCACCATCACCATCGTCATCATCAGCTGGATCATTTTCCTCACCAGATTCCACGTATATGGGCCAGTCATTGTCCGTATCACCCTTTTCTTGACTTTCTGATGATGGTTCCATCAAACTGAGGTTAATAGGCATGGAATCCTCATGTGTAGTGGTTACACAAGTGCAGCTGTCACACAAGCCAAAGCGTCGTAATCCCTGTGACAGGCTACTTGTAAACGTTCTTCTGCAACCTTTGCAGATAATTGGCTTATTTGATCGATGCACCTGAAGTAAGAAATAAAATGTTACGGTCAGTTGGGTGACCCATGTTCTTGCCCTGACCCTCCCGGGAGACCATCTTCCTCATCTTTCCAAAACAGAAAAGTGTCTAAAGCCAAACTTAAAAGATAGAAGATTCGCTTGAAATAACAAAGGGTGTGGACTAAAATAGTACTGTTGTATCAAATATCAGTCTTGTAGCTTTAATCACTGAGGTAGTCTGTTCTGTTGGCTGAAGACTATACTTCAAAACAACCATCATTCAAAACTTGATGTGTGTATTCACCCCCCCCCCCCCCCCCCT